CAAGGTTTTGCTGCACCTGGTGATAATCGGGTTTGTCGTCTTCATAAATCCATCTATGGTCTTCGACAGGCATCTAGAAACTGGTACCAGAAGTTTTCTCGTGCCTTGTTGGCTTTTGAATTCAAACAGATCCGAGCTGACCATTCACTTTTCATTCATCGAAAAGGTGCGAGTTTCGTTGCTGCCTTAATCTATGTTGACGATGTTATTCTTGCGGGGAATGATGCAGAATTCATTCAACGTGTCAAGGATTATCTCTATGACCAGTTTACTATCAAAGACTTAGGGTCTTTGAAATATTTTCTTGGCATTGAGGTTGCACGTTCTCGCAAGGGCATCGTATTGAACCAACGCAAGTACGTGTTGGATATTCTCGCAGTTTGTGGCCTGAAGGCCACTCGGCCGTGTGCCACTCCTATCGAACAAGGTCATCAAACAGGTCGTCTTCCCTCTTGTCCGGCCCCAGATCCTTCTAGCTATCGGAGTCTCGTTGGGCGGCTTCTGTACCTGACAGTTACTCGACCTGATATTCAGTATGCAGTGAACATTCTTAGTCAGGCGGTGCATGCACCTACCCAAGCTCATGTGCAGGCTGTTGTACGAGTTCTCCGGTATCTTAAACAATCTCCGGGGCGTGGTTTGTTTTTCCCAGCAGGTGAGCCTTTGTCTCTCACTGCTTATTGTGATGCTGATTGGGCAAGTTGTCCCAGCACTCGTCGCTCCACGACTGGATATTTTATTCGTCTCGGTGGTGCCCCCATTTCTTGGCGTACCAAGAAGCAGTCAGTTGTAGCACGTTCTTCTGCAGAAGCTGAGTATCGCGCCATGGCTGTCACGGTGAGTGAACTTATTTGGCTGCGGTGGCTTTTGGCCGAACTTGGACATCCCTTGCGTGCTCCTACCCCTCTCTTTTGTGATAATCAAGCTGCTTTGCGCATCACCGCTAATCCTGTTTTCCATGAACGCACCAAACATGTTGAAATGGACTGTTACTTTGTTCGGGAACGTGTTCTTGCTGGCGATATTCTTCCCTCCAAGATCGCAACGATCGAGCAACCTGCAGACATTTTCACTAAAGGTTTGAGTGTTGATCGGTTTCAGGAACTGCTCGTCAAGCTCGGCATGCTTGATATCCACGCCTTCGCTTGAGGGGGAGTGTAGAAGTGTAGTAATGCACTACACGTCGTCGTTTGTAGCTGCTGTCCGCAGCTGAATTGTTGTCCAAGTTATTGTTGGTTTCCTTGTCTTAGTTGGAAACCCTTGGCCGTATTGTTCTAGGTTTGGCCGCCTAGTGTTCTATATAAGTGACTTAGCTGCAGGTTCATTGTAAGCAGCAAGTCGGTCAGTTTATTACGTCAATAATAAATTGTCGTCAGTCGAGAGCTCGGTTGAGCTCTCCGTGGATTAGTCCTGTTCACATCGAACAGGGATACCACGTAAATCGCTGTGTTGTGTGTTCTTCCGCGTTTACGTTTTCTACAAATAGTTTTGGATGGAACAGGACTTGCTGCTGATATCGCTCCTCTCCAAAGAGCCCTCGATAGAGATGCTACCAGATTGCCGCCTTAATCCGGCTTTTAAATTCGTTCGGTCCAGCCTGCTTAATCGTTAAAACCTTCCATTTGATGGAGTGCTCGGCCAACTGCTAATCCATCATTGTTGCTGCTACTTCTAAGGTATCAATTGCTGTCGTGTTTGTTATTGAGAGAACACAATATCAGCAACTCATTCTCGTGGTAGAGCTTTAATGCCATCATTAACTTTACTCTTCTTCATTCATTAAAACTATAGAACAACATACATATTTATAGAACTACTCTCACGAACCCTTTCCCTGGTAAACTAATCCCAATCCATGAAAAAAAGGTTGGAGCTCTCTGTCGAAGAAGAGATTGGGGAGTAGACGGAGGGGAGCCGGCGGTGGGGGTCTCAAATTTTTTATATTAATTTAATTGTAATAATTTTAAATTAGAAAATATGTGTAAATTACGAATATTTTAATAATTTTTATGATGACCGGATGGTGACATAGCATGTTGATCATTAGTAACCGCGTTTGACCATCCAAGATAACAGCCAAACATCGTGTTTGGCCAATGTCATTACTTTTATGTATAGTTTGGGCCAGGATATTACAGATCGAAAAGATTGGGTAGAATGTTTATTATGGTCAAATTCCAGGCCATACAAATATATTAACCCTTTATTTTTATTTGTGTTTTGAAGTTGCCTCTCAATTAAGATAGGTAGAATTTATGTCAAATTGTATTTTACTTAACAACTTTGAGCATTATCATATACTAGTTTGCTGTGCGCGCTTCACTGCGGCAAGATATTAATTAATTTATAAAGCTATATTTATTTATTTAAAGATATAGTTGGAATTAAATAATTAAAAAAATTGTTTAGGTAAGATACACATTTGATTTAAATGTTAACTTACCATACAAAACTTATGCGTAATACAAAATTATGAGATGATAAATGTTATAGATAATAATAAACAAATTTTGGGTAATAATAAAATAATTAAGTTATAAAAATTATAACATTTTATTAAAATATTATGTAAACAGTAATCGACCTTACTTAATCTTTGTGTAATGCACAAAGATAAAATGATCAACAATTTAATTAATAATAAAGAAATTTACGTTCAAACTTATATTGTGAAAGAATTATGTAATATGTTTGTTCAACTGATATATAATGAATGACTATCTATCCAATATCCATAACCATATGCTTTGTCTAGTGTATTAATCATTACTGAAACTTATATAATACATTTTACTTAATTCGCCCGTGCTCTGCTGCGGGATACGTTTGATTTGTGTAATCTTTAGTTGTCGTCACGCAAAATCGACGTAGAGTCGGGGAGAGCGTACACATAGAAACATATATAGTGTTCAACGAAAAATGTGAAGAAGTATAGGACATGCATAATAGAAAATGAAAAAAATGGACATCAACCTAGAGCCCATTTAGTTTTTTACCCATAATGTTTTGGTTTGTTGTGCACATGGAAATAAATCAAGGAATCACAAAAGTTTGGTTTGGTTAGTTGCTGGAAGTATAAATAATTTTGTATATTAGGTGTATCATTAATTGGTTTCACTAGTTAGCAGCGTTGAAACCAAACAAAATAAGCTAAAATGTTTAACTAAACCAAACCAAATCAAACCAATTATCTAAATTAACCGAATGCTACTGGTTAATATGGTTACCACAGTAACCAATCTGTTTGAACACCCCTAGCTACCACAGCTCAGCATATACACAGGCGAACAGTAATCCAGAATCCATGATTACTTACTAAAATTAGAGATGGCTAAAATTTCGTAAGGAATAGAAAACCAATTAAGAGCTAACTTGCGCTATTAATAAATTAATTAATAACTTCTGTCGCAATACATACAGAGGGCAGTAACAGGATGTAGTCCAGCAGTATTCGGTTTCCATGCTCCTCTAACAATAAAGAACCCACACTCTTGAGCGATTGCTTTTGCAGCTAACTCAGCTAACTCCACACTTGCATAATGGATCCCATTCTCAAATTCTGCTGTGTAATCATGATCGGCCGGGAACCACTCTGACATTTTTCCTACAATTACAATATAACACATCAATATTCTTGTGAACCTAAACGCTAATTTCAACTCTTAACCGCTAAATTCAACTCCTAAACTCTAAATTCAACTCCTAAACGCTAAATTCAACTCCTAAACGCTAAATTCAACTCCTAAAATCGAATTTTTCCGACGATTTGCAACGAACGGGGTGGGCCGAAAATTTCCGGCGGCCGGAACCTGGCAGGGCCGAAAACTTCCGGCGGCCGGAACCTGGCCTGGCCGAAGGAAAACGGTGGCCGGAGCCTGGCCGGGCCGAAAATATTTTTCGGCTCGGCCAGGCTCCGGCCACCGTTTTCCGAACGGGCGTACGGTAGTCTAACGTACGCCCGGGCGTACGCTAGCCTGAACCATATATATTCAACATCTCATCAATTTGCATCATGCATATTAAAACTTATGAAAAAATAATTTGATCTTATAGACTATATAGTTTATAGAACTACTCTCACGAACCCTTTCCCTGGTAAACTAATCCCAATCCAAGAAGAAAATGTTGGAGCTCTCTGTCGAAGAAGAGATTGGGGGAGTAAATGGAGGGGAGCGGCCGATGGGGGTCTCAATTTTTTTAATTTAATTGTAATAATTTAAAATTAGAAAATATATGTAAATTACGAATATTTTAATGATTTTTATGATGACCGGATGGTGACATAGCATGTTGATCTTTTAGTAACCTTGTTTGACCGTTCAAGATAATAGTCAAACATCGGGTTTGGCCAATGTCGTTGCTTTTATGTATAGTTTGGGCCAGGATATTACAGATGGAAAAGATTGAGTAGAATGTTTACTATGATCAAATTTCAGACCATACAAATATATTAACCCTTTATTTTCATTTGTGTTTTGAAGCAGCCTCTAGGTAGAATTTCTGTCAAATTGTATTTTACTTAACAACTATGAGCATCACCATATATAACTTAAGCTCTGTAGTTTACCGGAAAAATGAAGTCAGTGTAGGTTTAATCGATAATTTGGAGTGGCCAGGAACTTGAGTGCATCGTTAGCACATAGAAACATATATAGTAGTGTTCAACGAAAAGCTGTGAAGAAGTATAGGACATGCATAGTAGAGAATGAAGAAATGGACATCAACCTAGAGTCCAAACTTTGTCATGTGTGAACTCAACTCTAATTATATATGAAGGTAATATTTTGTCATGTGCGGCCTTTAATTTTGTCAGGGGGAAATGAGTGTGACAAACAAGGCATCAATCAATTAATGAAAAAAGAATATATGTAAATAATGACAAGAAGCATAATATAATTGATTTGAAGAAGACACTATATATAGAATGCATTTGTGATCCATTAATTCCACTCATCAATCATCTCTCAATCTTGACATACATCATGGAGCCAAAACCAACCATGTCTTTCCCGATCACACTTGCACTAGCTACGTTTTGTTGTATAATTATGTCCGCATTTGTGGATGCGCAGAGCGGTGGATTTAGTATCAATCTGGTCCATCGCGATTCCGAAGGTTCGCCTTTCTATAATCCCAAGGAAACGCCAGCTCGGCGCGTTGGGAATGCGGGTAGGCGATCGATTGGGCGAGTGCATCGTTTCAGTCACATGCTTCACCTTAACAGTTCGAGGTCTATTTCGGACCCTTCGGATCCTGATGCTCAGTTGACGGCCAACAATGGGGAATACCTGGTGAACATCTCCCTTGGTACGCCACCATTTCCGATCGTTGCGATTGCTGACACTGGCAGCGACATTATATGGACACAATGTAAGCCTTGCACCGATTGCTACAAGCAGGATGCGCCCTTATTTGACCCCAAGTCGTCGAGTAGTTATAGAACAGTGTCATGTTCATCCAACGCTTGTAATTCGCTCCAGAGTGAAGGAAGCTCTTGCTCCTCCGACGGCAGTGTTTGCGAGTACCAGGTGAGTTATGGGGACCAATCTCACACCCAAGGAGATGTAGCAGCTGAAACACTGACTTTGGAGTCCAAGACTGGCAACCCTGTGGCCCTTCCGAAAACTGTGATTGGCTGCGGGCATGACAATGCAGGAACATTTAGCCCCAAAGGCTCTGGCATCGTTGGTCTTGGAGGAGGACCTGCATCCCTTGTCAGCCAACTCGGTTCATCCATTGGCGGGAAATTCTCCTACTGCATGGTCCCGTACGCAGCTGCCAAGCCGACCAGTACGATGAACTTCGGCACCAACGCCGTGGTTTCAGGAAATGGTGTCCTTTCCACCCCCTTGATTTCGGATCCATCCCAACCCACATTTTACTTCCTTCAACTTGAAGCCGTTAGCGTTGGGAGCAAAAAGATTGCCTTCCAAGGCTCCTCCATTGGAGGCTCTGGCAACATTATCATTGATTCAGGGACGACTTTGACCCTTGTGCCTACTGATTTCTTCTCCCAGCTCTCTGATGCCGTCGAGACTCAGGTCACCGGCGGCACCAAAACCAGCGACCCCGAAGGCTTTTTCAGCCTCTGCTACGTGCCAGACTCCAGTCTCAAACTTCCTCCCGTCACTGCGCATTTCAAGGGAGCCGATGTGGTGCTCACTTCCGACAACATTTTCATCCAGGTCAACGATAAAGTGGTTTGTTTGGCTTTCTACGCCAACGACCAACTCAGCATCTATGGAAACGTTGCTCAACAAAACTTTCTCATTGGATATGACCTTCCAAAGCAAACTCTATCTTTCAAGCCTACAGATTGCACAAACACCTAAACCCCCCCAATTCTCCATTACCACATTCATATGTGTGTTTATCAATAAGCTAGTGTGTGTAAATGAAATTAAAACAACGTGATTGTTAATCTATGTGCAATTAATTGTTATATCCGATCCAGACTATTAATAATATATACATGTGTTTATCAATAACTGTACGCAACGTGGATGAACAATTCCTTTCCTAATAAAATTCTTAATTTCTTTTTCGTTGGGATCATTTTTTGTTTTTCTTTGTCCGACTTAGCTTCTTCTTACCAACCCAATATATTTCAGTGTTTCTTAACCAGGATTATTAACATCACCGATTAAAATTATCCCAACAACTACAAAGAGAAAAAAAAAAACCCATCCTCAAGTTGCGATCTATGATAAGGCAAAAAATGGAGCTTCTCTCTGTAAACTACCTCTTCTTCTTCTACCCATCTCCAGCTCTAGCCTCAAGAGCAACTACAGCTACCCTCAAAGGAGCCCTCAATCTTCCAAAATCCAGAGCATGCAATCCTAGCCGGAAAACATCAGGAGATCTCATCGCAGTTAAGACTGGGATTCGAATCATTGAAGAGGGGCCTTGTCATGGCAGATATTCCACCAATGAGGGATTTACCAACGCAGAAGCAAAAAGCAGCAAAGCACCTACTCCACCGCAAAAACCACCTGAGCAGATGTCAATCGGAAGGCAACAGAGAAGATCAAGAGCCAGTACCAGAGTCAATAAATACTCTGGTTGTTGGAAGGTCAAGGAAGCCAAAGTTATTGCAACCAGCCTCGACACTCACAAGGACACCAGAGAGACACAAGGAATGAACTGCTATGAAACACCTGAGATAGTGACAAGGGTGGACTGCTCAGCAATCATGAGCATCCAGAACATTAAATGCTCAGGGAGAGAGGCAGTAAGAATTAATTGCTTAACGCAGGGCTATCGACCGGGAGCTAGTAATAAAGCTCAGACAACAAGAGCAAAAGTCAGAAGAAGGGATAGAACGGCCGATAGCTGTAACCATAAATGGGAGGTATTTGGATACACGGCAGGAGATCCTATCGGATCAGAATGCAGCAGGGGGCATTTATGGCTCGAAGAGTCCAGAGAACCTCAAGGCCGATCCAGTCGAGGCATGAAGATCCTCCAGCCCTATATAAAGGAAAAGATACAGGAGGAATCAAAACATCCCTACCATCTCATTAACAAGTCAAAAAGCAGTGTCAAAAAAGCCGAGAAAAGCCCAGAAACCACTTTTGCCTACAGCAAAAGGAAAAATCCCAACCAGCCACAAATGGAGTCTCAATACAAGAATCTGCGAGGGGAGAGGAGTCACCTTGTCCTCAATGTAAGGCCTACCATTGTTGGGGCTCGAGCCAGCGGGATGGCCATGTTACTGGGAAAATGGATAACAGACTCCAGCATCAACCTGCCGAAAGCAAGAAATGCAGCAGTTAACAAGTGGAGAGCATATGGAGAAGTACAAGCAACAAAGGAGGCAGAGAATCTGTTTGTCTATTCATTCCAGTCAATCAAGCAAAGAGACGCAGTGTGGGAGGCCCGGCCCTGGAATCTGAGCAACACTCTCGTTGCACTGAAGAAGTGGGACGGTGAACAAAAGGCGGAAGCAGCAGACATACCAACAGTTACCCTCTGGGTCCAGATGCATGATCTGCCCCAATCTCTCAAGGATGTGGAGGCTGTACAGGCAGTGGTGGCCTACATTTTCCCCCAATTCCATTGTATCGATCAATCAAACTTCGACTTCAGGGGCTGGCTAAAATTTATCAGAGCGAAGGTGGAGGTGAGCATTGTGGATCCTATCCCCATTGGGTTTGAATATCCAGTAGGGGACCGCTCAATCTGGGTAAGCTTCAAATATGAACGAATAATGGACCTCTGCTATTTCTGCGGGAGGCTTGGACATTTGATCCATAACTGCATGGAGAGGGAGGAGCATAGAAGGATGGGACTCAGCACCAATCCGTCGGAAGTCTACACCGATGCCCTGAGAGCGGGATATGATTCACCGGCGAACACGCCTTCGGCTTCTTTCCGGGAGAAAATGGAGAAGTACAAGCAACTGACAAACCCAGCACCGGTGACTCAGCAGTTACGAGGAAATCGAGGCGAATCCTCCCGGATTACCCTAGCGGGTCTCCCAATACTGGGTCCTTTCAGCAGCCCACCTGGGTACGCCAGTCTGACTGGAAGTGGACAGGAGACAGGATGGGTATTCAGAGGAGATGGCAGCTCCCAGACTCCCTTTCTGCATACCGCTTTTCTGGAAATGGAAATGGAAGCACCAACCAGAGCTATGCAAAAGAGCCTCGACCTAGGGGAGAAAGAAGCCAGCAAGGAAAAGATGGTGGGCCTTTATGAAATGGGCCAATCACTCTCCCTGGCCAGCCCAGCGTTGAGCCACACCGAAGCCCAGCAAAGCATCGGTCTTCTGACCCAACTCAATCAAGGCAGCACCAATCAAGCGGCCAGCTACCAAGCCCAGGCCCAAGTCCTAACAACAGAGCCACTCGAGTTTGATCCACCCAGACCGGAGAAAAAGAGGAAGCCTGATAATAGAGTCAGCCATGTAGCTGCTACCCAGCACCAGGAAACCCAAACTAACATGTCTTTTAGTTCCCTTTCTTTTGTTCCAGGGGAGAGCAAGCGAACTTATCAGAGGAGGAAGCACATCATCTGGAGGAAGAGCCTGGCGGAAATTACGGCGGAAGAATACCAGTCCGGAGAAGGGGAATCTACCACTCTGAGGGCGTCGGCGGCAAGCCTCAAGCCGCCACTTCAGGAATGAGGTTCATTAGTTGGAACTGTAGGGGGTTCGGCCAACCCCTTACAAGGAGCTATTGCGGCTGGTTGTGTCGCCAATTTGGCCCGTCAGTCCTCTTTCTTATGGAGACGAGGAAGGATGAAGCGTTTATGGAAGCAAGGAGAAGAGTAATGAAGTTTGATAAGGCAGAGTATGTCGGTCCAGAAAGGGAAGGTAGTGGCCTTGCCCTATGGTGGAAAAATGATGTCAATGTGTTTGTGTTAGATTCATGTAAGTCCTTCATGGACACCAGGATTAGCAAGGATGGGGTTAGCTTCTACTGTACCTTTGTTCACGCTCCTACCACGGTGGTAGAGAGACGGAAACTTTGGGATCAATACGACCCTTAGAACGATGCAGGGAGAGAGGTGGCTCGTAGTTGGAGACCTCGATGTGGCTATCTCCCCTTTTGAAAAACAGGGCAGATGCCCTCTTAGGAATGAAAATGTGTACCCTTTTAAGTACTTCATGGACCGTAATGCTCTGATTGATCTGGGATTCTCGGGCCAAGTGTTTACGTGGAGCAACAATCAGCAAGGGGATGACCTGATTAGAGAAAGACTTGATCGGGCCATTTGTTCGACTTCTTGGAGAACCACCTTTGAATCGGCGACAGTCTACCATGATGAATTCATTGAATCGGACCATTGTCCTATAAGGATCGATCTACACCCAGCAAGCCAAGCCCATGCTACTCCCTTCAGATTCGACAAGAGGTGGAGGGAGAGTGAAGAATGCTTTAAAATTATCAATGAAAGAGGGACTAGAGGCGGGAGTACCAATGACATTTTGTTGGACTGTCAGAGAGATCTCCAGGACTGGGCTAAAACAGACAGACGGAGGAAATTGAAAAGAGAACGAGAAATTAGACAAAGATTACAGACACTGCAAGGGGCAAGGGACGAACCGGAAAGTTTTTCGGAAGAAAAGGACCTCTTACGATAATTGGAGCTCATCTGGAGCTCGGAGGAAAGTTATTGGGCACAAAGATCCAGAATTTCCTTGCTTAAAGAAGGTGACCAAAACTCAGGCTTCTTTCATGCCAGCACCATCAGAAGAAAGAACAGAAACCGCATCACAAAGCTGAAGGTCGCGGATGGAAGTTGGATCGATAATGCTCAGGACCTGAAGAGCCACATGTCTCGGATTACTACCAGCACCTCTTCACAACCAATGACAAACGATGTGATCCGAGGATCTTGGAGGGTTTCCCCAGGTTGGTGACAGAGGAAATCAATAATAGCCTGTGTGCGCCAGTTGACAATGATGAAATCCGCAAGGCAGTCTTCCAACTTGGAGCAAGCAAGGCCCCAGGACCCGACGGCTTCCCTGGCCTGTTCTTCAGAAAGTATTGGACTACAATTGGGGAGCCCTTCTGCTCTGAGATCATCAATTTTTTCCAGACTGGTTCCATGCTCGAGAATTGGAACGATACCTTCATCACCATCATCCCAAAAGTGGAAGCACTGGAACTGGTCAGTCAATTCAGACCAATCAGTTGCTGCAATTTCAAGTATAAAGTCATCACCAAAATCATGTCAAATAGACTCCATCCTCTGATGCCCGACCTGGTAAATGAACTCCAAGCGGCTTTCACAGGAGTAAGACAAATACAAGATAATATAATCATTGTACATGAGGTCCTTAACCAGTTCAAAAAGAATAAATCCAGAAATCGGAAGGAGATGATGATGAAGCTTGATATGAGGAAGGCCTATGACTTGGTTGAATGGGACCTCTTGATCTCTCACCTCAAAGCTTATGGATTCAACGAAATCTGGTGGGGGTGGATCTCTGCCTGCATCTCCACGGTTTCCTTCAATGTGCTTCTCAATGGGGAACCAACAGCAGAGTTTAAGCCTTCGAGGGGCATCAGGCAAGGGGATCCCATGTCCCCCCTCTTGTTCATCCTGATGTCGAATGCTTTATCTTTTCTGATTGAGCAGGCTGTTCGGAATAATGGAATCAAAGGCATCAAACTCAACAGGTCGTGCCCTACACTATCACACTGCCTTTTTGCAGATGATACTGTCATTTTTGGAGAGGCTTCTTGCGAGGAAGCGGTGAAGATTCTGGATATCCTCCAAAAGTATGGAGCTGTCACAGGCCAGGAGGTCAGTAAGGATAAGTCATCTATGTTCTTTAGCTGTAACGTCACAAGTGAGGATCAAGGAAGAATTATTCAAGAAA